AGGACTCGCAAATCCGGACGAGGGGGCATCTGCGGCATCTTCATACCTCTACATATTCCACATCATGCCTGCAGTAGTTGTCATCTCCAATTTCCGGGGCATGGCTCATGTAGGTGCATTGCACATTGCTCAGACCGAAAGAAAGTTCTTCCGCTCTATATCCCCTGCAGAATGGTGAGGAGGGACTGTCATTCAAGCTCTTCAACTTGATCCTACCGGTCCTACCAATTATTGCAGCTTTCGCGACCGCAACCTCGCAGCTCGACAATTTGAGCTCTGGAAGGCAAGATCTACATCTATAAGAACGTCTTAAAACATTAGGACCACCTGCTTACAAGTTTGGTTTATATACACCTATGTAAACAACCTTCGACAACAACTCGTGTGGCACGACCCTCTGAAGCATCAAATTCCTTTCGCGCTCCACAGCCCGTAACAGGCCATACCCGTTCCCTGAACATCCTTTCAAACCGTCCTCGCCCCACTCCCTTCCTCCCGAGGCCTGCTTCTGTCCGCAGGAGCAGGCGGAGCAAGTGAAACACTTGCGGTTGGTGAGCTGGGAGAAACCTGAAAGGGTTTAAGCCTAGGGCTTTGGATTTATTCTGTTGAGTTAGTTAAATGTCAAAGACTCAAAGACTGTATGCCTGGGCAGGAGGTTCGGGATGAAATGGTAGAACTCCAGGGATCGCCTTCTACGACTGGCACTGCTAAACCCCGACCGTGCAACTGTACGGTAGTTAGTTGAAGATCCCCGAAGACACACTCGTAAGACAGGGAAACTCATCGTCCAGGCTGTAAGCACCATCGTGCCGGCAGTGCTGCTTGTCTCAGAACGCGGCTGGTGAGACAAACATCCGCATCTATCATTTCAGGCGCATCCTGCCGAAGGCTGGGGACACTCCGAGCTTCCAGGATTCCAGAACGTCAAGCATTGCAAGATCTTGTCGATTTGCATCTGCTTCTAATCTGCAGCAAGTGAATAAGTCAACCATTGCATATCCTACCTTTCGGGCATCCATGCCAACGGAAAGAATTGAACAGGCTTTGTTAAAACACTCTGGTCCGATGTTTTGCAGCATTTCTCGTGCGGCCAAGGCTATGGATTTCTTACTTCTTTCTTGCGACGCGTAGCTTCTCGCTCTATGTCTGTTTCTCCCTTTCTCGACCAGGTGCACAGAATGGCACACAAGGATCTACGTTTCGCAAGTTGTCTCCTGTGTGAAGATCGGCTGCCCCACGCAGCTCCAAGGATATGCAACCACGCACCTGACAGTTCCGGAATGAGCTGCCATCTACATCAAAGTTGCATGGCCATCTATGTCCCTTAGAGGATACTTTCAGCCAGCATGGTGCAAGAAACCAATAGCAGCACAGCCGAACCTCGAGACTTGAAAAGCCCTCGATTGAAACCTGCCTTCTACAACCGACCCGTTCTTAAGAGTTCTAAGAATCATCGGAGCCGCAAACCAAACTCCTGAATCAATCCTGAACCCACGCATATCCACACCGTGTGGTCTAGCGACTCGGGTGGCTCTGAGCGAGGCAGGACCTGGCCATCCTCACGCCAGTGGCACACGTCCTCATGCAGTTTGCGGGATGCCGGCTTGAAGGCGTACAGGCTTCAGTATTTAAGGGTGCAAACTACTTGAAATGTGGTGGCCTATAGGCTTATAACCTTGAACACTCGCTTTGGCATTACATAATTTAGATCCGGGCTGGTTTTTGTTGGTAACAGGTAAGGAAGGGCCCATCGGGTTTTCGCGAGGGCAGTGTGCAAGTTCAAGAATATGCAAGCTGCAAGTGGTGACAACCGTTTTGAGCAATGAAGCACATGTATGCACATGTACCTGTGTATGGCTTTGATGTGTATGAACACGGACCATATAATGATGCGTACATGTAATTGCATAGGTACGCAAGTAGGTTCGTATTTACATCTCGACACAAGGGAAGCTTTTCACAAATGGCCACAGAATAAGATCCTGCTCCCGCTCTTAGCCTGCGCTTGCTCTTGCTCCTAAAACCCCTTCCCCTCATTCAAACATGGGGTTCGACCAAAACTGTTGTCATGTGTTGTCAATACTGTCAAGTGCTTAAAGTCGTTGCAGTAGACGCCGCCAACGCCGCCAAAGTGGCTAAAGAACACATACTCTAAACAATTCGTCAGTTCCGCAAAAAAACGCCGTCGCAAAAGGTGTTACAAAGCACACAGCACAGGTCCGTTCCGAAAGTATATGCCGCCGTCAGATCAGGAATCGGAATTCAGCTCAAAAAAGTGTATCCAAAATGGACCAGAACGGTACCCCGAACGATACCCGGTGTGTGGCTTGAAAGCCAGGATCCATTATACTACTACAAGTACTGCTACACTACTACTGCTGCTGCTGCTGCTACTGGTGCTCCTGCTGCTCGTGCTCTTGCTCCTGCTGCTGCTTCTAGCTGGCCATAGACTTCTGAGGCCGCAACACGCCCTAGCCTGGAACAACTTTTCAAACACTACGACTAATCTGCCAGTACCCTGGCAGAATCAGGGATGGAAGCTTACGTGGAGGGGTGTTAACAGTCTTACGGGCGACGTTTGAAAAGCCCAATCGCCCATCGATTGGAGCGAAGCCAAAATGGCTCACGAGAAGCAGACTGGTCACGCTTAAACGTAAACGGTTGGAGCGAACTGAAATAAGTGGCTGACGAGAAGCACAAGGGTTGACGCTTAAACGCAACTAGCCCCCGAGCTCTTATCCCCGAAGGTCTGGCGGGCGCACATGCAGAACACAACAACGACTTTAGCGGTTGAGAGTACTAGGGGGGGGGGGGGGGGGAAGGTTAAAAAAGGGCGAAGGTATTATGTGGAACATGTTTTAATGTGCATATACATACCTGCCTGTCTACATCTGTCTGTGTAAACTTGTATGTACACAATGACAATATAGGTATATACGTACATACATATGTGTATACATATATATATATAACCATGAACTTATCTATCCATAGAACTCGGTGTGCACATACAACTGCAAACTTGGAGATAAGTATTAACATAAGCAGCAAAGCCAATGAATATATGAATGAGTTGACAAATCATCAAATCGCATGAACCAAAACAGTGCTTATGCAGTTAGACTGAAAATGCATAGATGCTATGTGCATGCATATAGGGTTGCATGTGTACTCACAATACATACATCGACATAGATATATAACTTGCATGTCTACCGCTAGTTCGTGTATCAGTGCATATAGGGATACCGTGTACGAACTTGCCTCCATAAAAAGCAGCTGTAATGCTGTAGCCATATAACCCGAGAAATAGTTTGTGCAGAATACGGAAAGGGAACCTTTGAACTTTACAAGTGCATGTCCATGTCGGGTATCCTTATATATGTTTGTTTCCTTGTATAAGCATGCTGTGTGTGTATGCGTATGTGTATGTGTGTATATGTGTATGTGTGTATGTGTGTGTGTGCGTGTGTGTCTGTGTGCATGTGTGGATTTGTTTGTGTGCGTATGTGTGTGCTTGTGTATGTGTGTGTGTGTGCATGTGCTCGTGTGTATGTGTGTGCATGCGTGCATGTGTATCTGTGTGTATGTATGTATGTATGTACGTATGTATGTATGTATGTATGTATGCATGTATATATAGGTGCAGAACTGTATCTGAAGCACTACAGTATGTGTTCATATTATTTGCCGGTCTACCTATCTGTCTATCCATCTACCCATCCATTCATCTACCTATCTATCTATCTACCTATCTCTCTATATTTGTTTACATGTATACATATTGGAAAAGTCCCGAACGACCAGGCACAAGCGACGGACGTTTTGCTGTGCTGCGCGCTGCAGCTTTCTGAAAGAGCAGGGACGAACATCCCTTTGTCGCGGGACGGCCGGCGCAAGCCCAGCATTCCTGTGTCCAGTCCCTGTCGGCTGCATGTTCGGACTTTGTTTCGGCTTCGTCGGTATCTTGCAGCTACACGTTGAGATGATGCACTGCATGGACATTCAGTTTCACTGACTGTAGTAACTGTCCAGGTCTTCCCACCGGGCATGGACAGTGCACAGCTGCCCGCTGAAGCGCCAAACCCCAGGCATCTTCGAAATCCTAAAGGGCGAGGGATTGCTCCGTGCCCTTGCCTATGCTTCTATCGGTTTCCGTCATCTTGGAGCAGGTACGAAGGATGTGCACTTTGCCAGTATCCCAGTTCAAGTTGGCGATTGGTCCGTCGGTATCCGGACATGTGTGACCGCAGCCTGACTGCGGCATGTCCTAGCACAGTCAGGCCGAGCGCAAATATTTTGTTCATACACATGCACAGCGCTTCCAAACTCCACACTTCTGCTTCAAGCTGATGGACAATTGCTTACCATCCCTGAGTGGAGACGAAGGACTCAATCGCATGTTACCCAGGACTGAAAACAATCTGAGATTGATCAAACAATCGTTTGGGGCTCGTCTTTGAAGGGGCACGACTAGCCATGCTCCATTGCAAGCACTGCGATTCTCAGAGTGCTGGAGCAACCCTGTCCGCCCGCCAGGCTCGGCAGTGGCCCCGCCAAATTTGAACGGCGTGGGCCCGCATGCATGTTTCGGACTGCTATTATGTGGGGTGTTAGGTTCACGGAAGGAGTTCCTGGACTGGGGAACATGCAACGCTAGGGTGATGGTTGTTCTAAAGTGGAAAGCATGCAGGCCGACGGCTCGTCATCATACTACAATGCTACGAAAGCATCAGACTCCACAGCATCGTGGACGACATGGACCCGAATTGAATGCCGCGGACTGTGAGCAAAGGCCGCGAATTTGAATCTCAGAAATCTGACCAACAGTAGGTTATGTGCCCAGTAGGTTGTGTGAGCATCCTCTTTCTGCCATGCGAAACCCACATCGACGAATATTATGTTATCTCCAAATGAAAGCAATCATGAAGCCTCGGCCATTGCAGCTTCTTTGCTGCGGGCTGGAGCTTCTGAACTTTCAGACCGGTAGTGGGCAAGGTCTACTCAGCCGGAGGCGCCACAATGGCAAAGTCCCCCAATGGCTTGGATGGATCCGTCTTGAGCTCCAAGTTCCTTAGCTGCTTTGGCTTCCGAATTTCTCTGACAAAGCTTGAGCATTTGACTAATCTACTTGAGCATTTGACGTTTACGTAATGCTGTGGAGCTGTAAGGCGAGCTCAGCAGTCACACGGACTTTGTTGGCAGGCTTTGCCTGTGTTCGTTATCTGACTTGCTGCTCTCATTCGCCTGCTGCTGCATCGGATTCTGGTCTGTATGTTTGTGCCGTCTTGCTTGAGGAAAACGAGTTTGCAGAACAACTTGCGCAGAGTCTGCGAGGAAGTGCAGAGCCCAGGCCCGTGCAGACACAGAAACGCAAAAGACCCGCTGCCGAAACAAACGAAATAGAAGTGTATGAGCAAGGCCTGTCCGCCCTTCTCCGCGCGTCCCCTCTCCCCGGTGCCCCTGCTGTGGCCATCTGGGCTCGGTTTTGATGTGGTCTGCGCATCCGTTTCCATCATTCTCTCACGCCCCGGTAGTAGATGTGTTAGCGTGGCTTGGTCAGCCTGAGCCTCTCGTCGGCTCTCTCTCTGTATCTCTCTCTCCCTGTTTCTTGTTGGGTAGTTGCTGTGCAATCTCTTTCATTGCGTGGTATTGACAACATGCCGTTCCAAGTGGTTTTGGAGATTGGGGAAATTCGAACTTGTGTTCCGGCCCAAGAGCAGTGCTGCATATCTTGGGCGTCCAACGGTCTTCCCGCCACAGTTCCTAGCATGTCTGCCTCCCCACGCAAAGCTTGCTCACGCCACAGCGCACGTTGTGGATGCGAGTAGTCATGTCACCTCCAACAATCGGTTTCCTGGAAAAGTCTTGGGCATGTAAGTCTTGGACTGCAAAACATAACACTACATGAGTGCCCACTTAGCAAAGGAGAGAGAGAGAGAGAGAGAGAGAGAGAACAACAACAGTGATCCATCCATCCATCCATACATACGTATGCATACATACATACATACATACATACATACATGAAAACACACATGAATACACACACATGCATACGTACATACATACAAAGGTGATCCATCCATCAATCCATCTATCCATCAATCCATCCATCCATCAATCCATCCATCCGTCCATCCATGGATACATACATACATGCATAGATACATCTTATGTATGTATGTATGTATGCATATACGTATATACATATGCATACGATGTGTGTGTGTATATATATATATAAACAGAAAGCGTCACCCTCAGGGCCCGGTTTTGTTGTATTCGTAAAAAACAGAATTTTAAGTGCTGTCTTAAAAAATATCACAATTTAAAAAGAACGGCCCCGAACGGCGTCTGATAAGGAAAGAACGTGGAGCTTACACGGGAAGAAAGGCCTGCCTTCCACCCATTGTGCTCTTGCCTATGGCTTTTGGGAAGGGGGAGGGGGGCGAGGCAAAAACCAAAAAAACAAATAATAATAATAAAATTATTTTCTGTTATTGTTTTTTTTTTTTTTGTTTGGCCTCGCTGCCTTCCCCCCTCCCTCCCCCCCGCTCTAGGCCAGGGAGCCGGAGCCCGTAAGCTTGGACCCAGCCCGGAAGGGCTTGTGCGTTTCCGAAAACTTAAAGCGCGCGAATCTTTTAGGTTTCGGATTTGGGCAAGATCCATGACAAAGAAGGACACTGCGCGCAAGGCTTGTTTCTTGTCATTCGCAATTCGCAAACCTAGCACACTTATCAAGGTTGTCCTTCTACATATCATATGACATTCGTATATCCCCTCACATACCCAGCCTGTGTATATATGCATATGTGTATGTCAAAGTTTTCATATATATGAATGCATCACATCACAATGCTTGTGTCTCCATGTGTATATATGGTATGATGTGGCATCCCAAAAACATATACATATATAGACATATGTATAAATACATACATATATATACACACATACATACATCGATACACAAGTACATACATACATAGATACATACATATATATATATATATACATATACATACACATTTATTTTTTACATGTGCATAAGCATCCACAGAAAAGCGGTGTACCTACATACATATACACACACATTCAGATATACATATTTACATACACATATACATATATACATATATACATACATATATACATACATACATATATGCATATATACATATATACATATATACACATATACGCATATACACATATACATATATACACATATACATATATACATATATACATATATACGCATATACACATATACATATATACATATATAAACATATACATATATACATATATACATATATACATATATACATATATACATATATACATATATACATACATAAATGTATGCATAGATGGTTGACATATGTGCATACCTGCTTAATTTATTTCTATGAACTTCAGGCCTGTATGTTCAGGTGCAGTCATAGGCATTGATTTTGATACATATGCAAAACTGGTGATGTAAAATTGGTAGAT